CCTCCCCCCTTTTTTATGGCCGTTTCCCCACGTGACTCTTGGGGTGACCCCAAAATCAGGTCCCTCCCCCCATTCCCTGTTCCCCACCCCAATTTCCCTCCACGGGGAAACTGAGGCACATCCGGACACTCCCAAACCTCCTCTAACCTTTGGGCTCGCCCCGCCCGGTCCCCACAGACGCGGCCGCGGTGCCGGTTCCCGGGGGGACCCCCCCGGTGTCGGGGGACCCCCGTGTGACCCCCCCGGCTCCGGGGGACCCCCCCGAGCCGCCCCCCGGTGCCACCATCCCGCTGTACTGCGCCCTCCTCGCCGCCGTCGTCGTGGGGCTCGTCGCCTACGTGGCCTTCAAGTGGTGAGTTTTGGGGGTCCCGGGGGGGCACACAAGGATTTGGGGACCCCCGGTGACCCCCCCCGTGTGTTTCCCCCCATCCCAAAGCTGGGACACGTGCAGGAAGAAGCGGCAGCTGGACAAGGCGCGGGACGCGGGGGATGCGGGAATGTCGCCGGACGGGGAGAAGCTCCGCGGGGACAGCGGGGTCTTCCTGGACACCCCCGGCCCGCAGGAGCCCCCCCAGCACGGTGGGGGTTTGGGGGGGGAACCCGGGGATTTGGGGGGACGCGCGGCCCTGAATTCCCAGGGTTTGGGAATTCAGGGGGGGACACCTGTGGGTTTGGGTGGGGGGGGGGCAGCCAGCCCCGTGTGGGGTCAGGGGTGATTCGGGGGGCGCTCAAGGTTTTTGGGGAACACCCATCCCTTCGGGGGGGTCAGGGTTTGGGGGGCACGCGGGAATTTGGGGGGAGCATCTGCGGGTTTGGGGGGCGGCGGTCGGGGAATGTCTGGATTTGGGGGGCATCTGGATTTGGGGGTTGGGGCGCTCTGGGGAGCACACGGGGGCTTGGGGGGACACCGTGGCCCAGGGGACACCCAGATGGGTTTGGGGGGGAACAACACGGCCCCGGGAGCACCCACGGGGGTTTTGGGGTGCACCTGTATCCCGGGGAGCACCCGCATGGATTTGGGGGGACACCTGAACGCCAGGGAACACCCAGAGGGGTTCTGGTGCGTCCCTACCATGGGATTCACCTGGATGGGGCTGGAAAACACCCAAATGGGATCGGGGAGCACCTGGATGAGGTCGGGGAGACCCCAAAGGGGTTGGGGAGCACCTGGATGAGGTCGGGGAGCGCATGGATAAGGTCAGGGAGACCCCAAAGGGGTTGGGGACCCCCTGAATGGGGCTGGGCAGCACCCCAAGCGGGATCGGGGAGCACCTGGATGGGGTCAGGGCGCCCCCGTCCCCATGGATCTCTCTCCCGGGTGCCGTGTGGAATCCCGGGATGCTGACACATCCCCCATCCTTTCCCACAGCCCCCCCCGAGGGGCCGCCCCCGCTCCCGGTGTCCCCGCGGCGGCAGGAGGAGCTGGAGCGGCTGCTGGAGCTGGGGGGGACAGCGGGGGATGTCACCTCCGCCGTGTGACACCCCCGGCGCCGCTTCCAGACGGATTCCTGGGGGGTTTAAGGGGCTTTTGTACTTTTATAGGGATCCTGGGGGTGGGACCGGGGGTCCTCGGTGGCCTCGGTGTGGGATGGAGGGGGGGGGACGCGGGAATGGGGCTGGTCCTGGGTGGGGGCATTAAACTGTCGCTTGGGGGCCACCAGGATTTGTGTCCTCGGCTGTTGGTGTGTCCTTGGAAATGTGTGTCCCTGGGATGTGTCCCTTCAGGTGTCCCAGGTGTCCATTTGTCCCCGGACTGTGTGTCCCAAGTGTCCCCAGGTGTCCTCAGGATGTGTCCTCCTGTGTCCCTGGGACACGAGTGTCCCAAGTGTCCCCAGGAGTCCCTGGGATGTGTCCCTGTGTCCCCAGGATGGGTGTCCTTGTGTGTCTGGGTGTCCCCAAAAGCCCGTGTCCCTGGGATGTGTCCCTTCAGGTGTGATTCCCCAAACATTCCCCATTATTCCCCCAACATTCCCCATTATTCCCACAATTAATTTGCTATTAATCCCTAAATAGTCCCAAAATATTTGCTGTTGTTCCCCAACACCTGTTATTATTTTCCAAACATCCCTGAGCTATTTTCCAATTATTGCCCAAATATTTCCCGTTATCCCAACCACTCCAATTGGTTATTATTCCCCAAATATTTCCTGTTATTCCCTTAATTAATTGCCTATTATTCCCCCAATATTCCCCAGATATTTGATATTTTTCCCCCAGTACTTGCTATTACTTCCCAGATATTCCCTAAGGGAGTTCTCTCTTATTCCCCCAAACATTCCCTATTATTCCCCAAATAATCCCCATTAGTCCCCAAACATTTCCTGTTATTCCCTAAATATTCCCCATTATTCCCACAATTAATTTGCTATTAATCCCTGAATAGTCCCAAAATATTTGCTGTTGTTCCCCAATACCTGTTATTATTTTCCAAACATCCCCAAGCTGTTTTCCTATTATTGCCCAAATATTTCCTGTTATTCCCCAACCACTCTCATTGGTTATTATTCCCCAAATATTTCCTATTATTCCCCTAATTAATTGTCTATTATTCCCCCAAAACTTGCAATTATTTCCCAGATATTCCCCAAGGCAATTTTCTATTATTCCCCAAATATTCCCCAAACATTCCCCGAATATTCCCCATTATTCCCCAAATATTTCCTATTATTCCCCAATTAATTTGCTATTTTGTTTTTCAAACATCCCCAGGCTATTTTCCTATTATTCCCCAAATATTTCCTGTTATTCCCACAATTAATTGCCTATTATTCCCCCAATATTCCTCAGATATTTGATATTATTCCCCCAATACTTGCTATTATTTCCAAGATATTCCCTAAGGCAGTTTTCTATTATTCCCCCAAACATTCCCTATTATTCCCCAAATAACCCCCATTAGTCCCCAAATATTTCCTGTTATTCCCTAAACATTCCCCATTATTCTCCCCAGTATTCCCCATTATTCTCCCAATTAATTTCCTATTATTCCCTAAATATTCCCAAAATATTTGGTGTTGTTTCCCCCATTTTGCAATTATGTCCCAAACATTCCCCAAGCTATTTTCCCATTATTGCCCAAACATTTCCTGTTATTCCCCAGGCACTCCCCAAATATTGGTTATTATTCCCCAAATATTTCCTATTATTGCCTAAATGACTTGTCTATTACTTCCCAATTTTTCCTCAAATATTTCCTATTATTCCTCTAATTAATTGTTTGTTATTCCCTAAATATCCCCTAAAGATCTGATATTATTCCCCAGATATCCCCTAAGCTATTTCTCTATTATTCCTCCAAAAATCCTCCAAATACTCCCCATTATTCCCCAAATATTCCCCATTATTCCCCAAATATTTCCTGTTATTCCCCCAATTCATTTGCTTTTTTCCCCGAAATATTTGCTGTTATTTCCAAATATTCCCTAAGCTATTTTCCTATTATTGCCCAAATATTTCTTCTCATTCCCTAAACATTCCCCAAATATTCCACATTATTCCCCAAATATTTCCTATCATGGCCCAAATTACTTTATTTTCCAAATATTTCCTGTTATTCCCTCAATAATTTGCTATTATTCCCCCAGTATTCCCTAAATATTTGGTATCTTTCCCTCAATATTTGCTATTATTTCCCAGATATTGCCTAAGCTATTTTCCTTTTATTCTCCCAAATATTCCCCATTATTCCCCCAATGAATTTGCTAATAAACATTTGGAATTATTCCCCCAAATCTGCCATTATTCTCCAAACATTTCCCAAGCTATTTTCCCATTATTGCCCAAATATTTCCTATTATTCCCCAAACGACTTGTCTGTTACTTCCCAAATATTATTCCCCCAATCAATTTGCTATTATTCCCCAAATATTCCCTTAATATTTAGTTTTGTTCTCCCAGTATTTCCAAAATATTTCCTAAGCTATTTTCCTTTTATTCCCCAAATATTTCCTGTTATTTCCCAAACTATTTTGCCATTATTCCCCAAGTACTTCCCGTTATTTCCCAAATATTCCCCAAATACTTACTATTATCCCACAAAAATTCCCCAAACACTTGCTATTGTTCCCCAAATATTCCCTATGATTCCTAAATATTCCCTAAGCTATTTTCCTGTTCTTGTCCTAATATTCCCCAAATATTTCCTGTCATTCCCCAGACACTCCCCAAATCCTGGCTGTTATTCCCCTACTCTTTCCTAACCATTTTTGTTATTATTCCCCAAACATTTGCTGTTTTGCCCCAAATATTCCCTGTTATTCCCCAAACCATTTTTCTCTTCCTCCCCCTTTATTTCCCATTATCCCCCAATTATTTCCCATTGTCCCCCAAATATTTCCCGTTATTCCTCCAGTTCTGGAGCTGTTCTTCCCCAAATCCCTGCTGTCATTCCCGAGGTGTCCGTGTGTCCCTGGGCTGTGTGTCCTTGGCTGTCCCTGTGTCCTTCCACCCACGTGGCCCCGGGATGTGTCCCCTCAGGTGTCCATGTGTCCCCTCAGGCGTCCGTGTGTCCCCTCAGGTGTCCGTGTGTCCCCCCACGTCCCCAGGACATCTCAGGTGTCCCCACATCCCCCCATCCCACACAGCCCCTGGAGTCTCCCTGGCTGTGGGGACACCCCAAGGACCCCAAGTCTGGTGGCACCTGCAACATAAAAGGGCCTTTTTAACCCCAAAATGCTCCCAGGTCACCCCAACCTCCCCCCTTTCCCACTCCCCAAGGATTCCCGGGAATCCTGAGGGTCACAGGGGAGTCCTCCCTGGAGCCAGCCCCTCCCACCCGCGTCCGGCGTCAATTTGGATTTTTTTTGGGGGGGGGCCTCGTTTTTCTTTGGATTTTTTATTTTTTTCTCTTTTTTTGCCTTTTTTGTTTTTTACAAAAAAAGTTTCCGTAAAAATTGGAGAAAGTAAAATGCTCGAAGCAGTAAAATCAATCTTATCCACATGGCCAGAAATCCGCAGTTATTTACAGGGAAAAACACAGGGAAACCTCGCAGGAGGGGGAGGGAAAACCGAGGAGACAACTCAAAAAAAAAAAAAACAAAAAAAAAAACGGGAATAACCCCAAAACAATTCCTGGCAAAGTGTTCCCGTGGGATCGGCAAGTTCAGGGCTAAAAGCGACGGAAAAAAAGCAAATTATTATCAATATATTCACATATACGTTAAAATATAATACAGAGCTCGAGAGCGGCGCCGGCAACGCTCGGCCTGGCAAAGCCTGGCTTGGGAAAACCAGGCCTGGCAAAGCCCAGCTTAGGAAAACCAGGCCTGGCAAAGCCCAGCTCAGGAAAACCCGGCCTGGCAAAGCCCAGCTCGGGAAAACCAGGCCTGGCAAAGCCCAGCTTGGGAAAACCAGGCCTGGCAAAACCCAGCTTAGGAAAACCAGGCCTGGCAAAGCCCAGCTTGGGAAAACCAGGCCTGGCAAAGCCCAGCTTGGGAAAACCAGGCCTGGCAAAGCCCAGCTTGGGAAAACCAGGCCTGGCAAAACCCAGCTTAGGAAAACCAGGCCTGGCAAAACCCAGCTTGGGAAAACCAGGCCTGGTAAAGCCCGGCTCAGGAAAACCAGGCCTGGCAAAGCCCGGCCGGGCCGCGGCGTCGGGAACGACGGTTCCTTTCCTTTAAAAAAAAATGTCACGGGGAAAATAAAATTCCCAGGTTGGGGGGCTCCAAACGGCCAATCCTGGTGGGGGGGTGTTATTCCAGGTGCTATTCCAGCTCCGTGTCCTCTTTGGGCTTGTAGAGGATCCCGAATTTCTGCATGTACTTCTTGATGTACTCCTTGGTTTTGTGTTTGACGTTCTCGTTGCACTCCAGGTCCTCGGGGTTCTTGCAGTACTTGAGCTCCTTGTTCATCACCCCGTGGGTCAGCTGGAAATGTGGGAATGCTGAGTTAGGCCTGGAATTCCCACTGAGCCCCGGCCTGGCCATTCCACAGCCCACTGGGCCATTATTCCCTAAGGAACTCCTGTTACTCCCAACTATTCCCCGAGCTTTGATCCTATTATTGCCTGAATAGTTCCTGTTATTCCCCAAATAAACATTCCCTAAATAAACATTCCTCACATAAACATTCCCCAATATTCCCCAAATATTTCCTTTTATTCCCCCAATTCATTTCCTATTTTTCCCCACAAATATTTCCTGTTACTTCCAAATATTCCCTAAGCTCTGTTTCTATCATTGCCCAAATATTTGTTATTCCCAAAATATTCCCCATTATTCCCCAAACACTCTCCATTATTCCCCAACCACTCCAATTGGTTATTATTCCCCAAATATTCCTCATATTTCCTATTATTCCCCTAATTCATTGCCTATTATTCCCCCAATATTCCCTAGATATTTGACATTATTCCCCCAATCCATTGTCTATCATTCCACAAATATTCCCTAAGTTAATTTCCTATTATTCCCCAAACATTCTCCAAATATTCCCCATTATTCCCCAAATATTTCCTATTATTGTCCCAAAAAATTTGCTCTTATTTCCCAAATGTTCCCTAAATCCTTGACATCATTCCCCAAATATTTGCTATTATTTC